ATTGATCGTTCATGAAAATTGACCCTATCCCAGAATTTCTATCCCATCATAAAAGGTATCAAAATGGCTATATTTCAGTTACACGGAAATCAGTTATTTTTACTTGATTATCAAAAAGGCGTTGTTCCTATGCATACGTTTCTATATAATGAAACGAAAGGGAATATGTAACTTGGCATGTCGATTGCCTTCAAACCTAAATGGAATTGGTAAATTTGGCAACAAGCGGAGCAAACACAATGCCGTATTTAACTTTGAGCTTCGGGGGACATAAGCCATATTTATCTATCCGGCACAACGTCCAGGAACCAACATCAACAGTGCATAATTAATTTGTATATACAAAGGTGATAAACACATGCCAATAGTTAGCACGAATAACAAGTTAACACCCACGAGATCTATATAAAACATTAGTTCAGAACGATGCCATTTGTCCAAGTCATAAATTTTAAAGTTCTATCCAATTTTTAGACAAAGGCACAGGCGTCGCCCGTGCTAAATTAAGTGCAATTTGCCCCACCGGGAAATTTGTCTTCATCTAACCTCGATATAACCCACAAAACGATGAGAATTACAACAGTTGCTTCCCCGGAAGATGCTTTGTTTTCATTGTTTGGCCATCCATGCCGTTGTCAATACAAAGTTCCTGATACCTTTGCAAATATTAACTTTGCCAGTGACATTGTAGATATTAGGATTTCATCGCGAAAAGAAAAACCTGTACGTCATTTTCATGATACTAATTGTTTGTAATTTCAAATTACCCGTTGAGAAATGGTATGGATCTGCATCATTCACAGGCATTGGATTTATGCTACTTTCTGCATGAAAAAGGTAAACAGGTACACATTCTGTGGGGAACCATAATAAGTACCTTTCAGATTAGGAATTGGGGCCAAAACTGACACTTTGTTTAATAGAAAATGCCCCCAGTCACGTGTTGACAGTACTCTTTTTATTCACGCGTCAACCGTTTTACGTCATTTTCAAATAGTCATAGTCTCACGTGTGTAGCATATCTGTAACTTTTTCCGAGATCAGTTGCAATAAGATATAATGTGATAGAACCTGTCAAAAATTTTCCAGACAAAAAGGATAAATACAGGAAATGCATCGTTTGATGTGAAACTATACACCTTCCAATATGTCAACTACGAATCCCTCGTAGACATGCTTCCGCAATGCGATAAATTATCCAACTCTCCATGCGTATTGTCGCAGCTCAGACGCTACGCCTGGGAGTTATCGAGATATTGAAAGGAACGAAATCAAAATCAGTCACAATGTCGAATATCCCGTGCTTTATAAATAGTATAATGGTCTCCGTGTTTATCGCTGACTTGGACGTATCTTTCCTTTTGAGCTAAAAACATTGGATCCCATGTTTAAGGAGCTAAAAGAAGCTTTAAGAATTAATCAAATGAAATTTGAACAGAAGCTCCATTGCTAGTATCGAACAAAATTACACAGAGTCTTATTCAGTGTCGATAAATCATTAGACCTTTTTATGCCAACTTCCCTCCAACAATTAACGTCTCTTGCTTTTTATCTGCCAGAACCCAACATAGACATTTTATTCCAAAATGTGCTCTTCACTTAATCCCAATAACGAGTGATAACATAACGGTAGAGGTTCCTAACTTGGTAGTCCCACTCTATGAATAATTGGTATTTCTTTTGGGAAATCTCACATTCTTCATCGTTGTTAGCTCAACTTTGGTAATACACATTTAAAGCATGGTGGGCAGCAGTAAAACCAATGAAGCGATAAGGCTTGTCTGTGTGATCTTGATAATAACAAAGATAGAGGTTTGATTCATCGTCCCCGTGGCAAAAGACTGTGATAGAGTTTCAGATGCTAACACAGCGCATAATGTTAGAAGTCACACAGAAGAATACTTGCTTGACCCTATTGGGCGGTACGACGGAAGAACGGCCAGGCTATGCCCGTTCGCTCCAGAGCCGATAAGGATATAAAGGTTCAGGGTAAGAAAAGTTGGGTAAGAAATGTTGGGTCCCCCAACCATTTTCAATTCAAACCAGTTATGATGCATTTTCTTGGTTGTATGAATTTCCNTGATTTTCAATCATAATTGGAGATTGCCTCCATTAAACGTGGACATCAGATTCCTCTCAATGAGATTTTTTTATTCTATTTGTACGAGCAGTACCGAAGAGAATCTTTTGAATAATTTCCTAATTAGAGCATAGTGACATGCGTAATGTAACATTACTCTGTTAACAACTTTACAGATATGTATCTCTGTGACATTAAAAAAAGCACGCACTACAGTCATTATGGTGATAATTAAGTACGATGGACGCTAAACCATCTGCCTATTACAATCAGCGAGTGATATGCGAATGTTTACAAGATGATTGGCGTTGCCAAGGTATTATCCTTATGGTTGTCATTATTTATTAGTCACAATTTTATTAGTCAAATAAAATATACACATTAACTAGACAACTGTAATGTAACCCTTTAGGCGGCGATATCTTGACATTGCTGATAGATAAAATTGATCGTTCATGAAAATTGACCCTATCCCAGAATTTCTATCCCATCATAAGAGGTATCAAAATGGCTATATTTCAGTTACACGGAAATCAGTTATTTTTACTTGATTATCAAAAAGGCGTTGTTCCTATGCATACGTTTCTATATAATGAAACGAAAGGGAATATGTAACTTGGCATGTCGATTGCCTTCAAACCTAAATGGAATTGGTAAATTTGGCAACAAGCGGAGCAAACACAATGCCGTATTTAACTTTGAGCTTCGGAGGACATAAGCCATATTTATCTATCCGGCACAACGTCCAGGAACCAACATCAACAGTGCATAATTAATTTGTATATACAAAGGTGATAAACACATGCCAATAGTTAGCACGAATAACAAGTTAACACCCACGAGATCTATATAAAACATTAGTTCAGAACGATGCCATTTGTCCAAGTCATAAATTTTAAAGTTCTATCCAATTTTTAGACAAAGGCACAGGCGTCGCCCGTGCTAAATTAAGTGCAATTTGCCCCACCGGGAAATTTGTCTTCATCTAACCTCGATATAACCCACAAAACGATGTGAATTACAACAGTTGCTTCCCCGGAAGATGCTTTGTTTTCATTGTTTGGCCATCCATGCCGTTGTCAATACAAAGTTCCTGATACCTTTGCAAATATTAACTTTGCCAGTGACATTGTAGATATTAGGATTTCATCGCGAAAAGAAAAACCTGTACGTCATTTTCATGATACTAATTGTTTGTAATTTCAAATTACCCGTTGAGAAATGGTATGGATCTGCATCATTCACAGGCATTGGATTTATGCTACTTTCTGCATGAAAAAAATCATTAGACCTTTTTATGCCAACTTCCCTCCAACAATTAACGTCTCTTGCTTTTTATCTGCCAGAACCCAACATAGACATTTTATTCCAAAATGTGCTCTTTACTTAATCCCAATAACGAGTGATAACATAACGGTAGAGGTTCCTAACTTGGTAGTCCCACTCTATGAATAATTGGTATTTCTTTTGGGAAATCTCACATTCTTCATCGTTGTTAGCTCAACTTTGGTAATACTAATTTAAAGCATGGTGGGCAGCAGTAAAACCAATGAAGCGATAAGGCTTGTCTGTGTGATCTTGATAATAACAAAGATAGAGGTTTGATTCATCGTCCCCGTGGCAAAAGACTGTGATAGAGTTTCAGATGCTAACACAGCGCATAATGTTAGAAGTCACACAGAAGAATACTTGCTTGACCCTATTGGGCGGTACGACGGAAGAACGGCCAGGCTATGCCCGTTCGCTCCAGAGCCGATAAGGATATAAAGGTTCAGGGTAAGAAAAGTGTCCCCCAACCATTTTCAATTCAAACCAGTTATGATGCATTTTCTTGGTTGTATGAATTCCCTTTCTATCTTAATTTTGCACAAGCACAAATGCAGCATACGACTCGCGCTCATTTTATAGACCGCCCTTAAAACACACACTTTCATACAATAACTTCAGTGATCATTGTACCCCCAGCTAATACATTTGCATCTATGAAATATTCAGGCGCCGCTGTCTTTAGAGATTAAAGATAATTAAGGTCATTAACGGTCGTCTTAATAACTAAAGAATAACATGTGCCTTGATAAATAGTCGCGGATCGATCTAAAGTCTCAATTAGGTGAGGACGGCTTAATTACGCAGGGATTGTTGAGAATGTTCCCAGATGTCTGACATGTCAATATCCATGCATTTGATTTCATTGAGGAACGACGGCCATGCATGTTGTACAGTTATTTAATGACATTTTTACGTTTCTTCTCCACGTAAACTAAGTATACAGCCATTGACAGTGACAAACTGGTAACACTTTACCAATACTCTGGGGAAATTAATGCCCATGATGTGCAAAGTATATTTCTTTATTTTTATGAATATTACTTTTTGTCCCATAGTCAATGTAAAATATTCTGATTCCAAAATAGAGGATTATGATACATATTGTTGCATGTACATAACATAATAATTATACATTATAATTTTCTGTTTCCATCATCATCTTTACAGATTGGTATTTTTGAGTAGAGTTTGATAAAAATTGGTTTCAGCTTATTTTTAAAAACTTTTTTTACCTTTATTTCCATGGGTGTCATTATAACACATAGCTAACATTTATTTCAACAAAAATACAACTTAAACAGCAATTTGTCCTTTAAACCATTACAGCTGCAATTACTGTAATGCAATTGACTCAGAACTAACGTAACCTGTTATTAACCTCAAATGTGTTGTTTGGCAATGCTCTATTTAGATTCCAAATGACAGTCATGCGATGGTGATCCGTATTTGCATGATGAGGGATTGCTTTAATTCAGTCATCCTTTAGCATAATATGGTGAGAATATCATCTCCTTAGTTACGTACAAATAATCAATGCCATCTGATTAATTAATATAACTTTAATTTTTCAATTTTATTCTTTGTTTTTCAGTGTTCTGAAGAAGGCAGCCGGTGTTTCCAAACAAGCGACTGTTGCGAAGGCTCCGTGTGTGTCACAGACAACGGACTAGCAGGTATAGACCTAGCCTTTTACGGCATTATTAACGTGCTCTCCCCTTCCTGAGAAGATTTCGAATTGACGATGAGAAAAAAGGTATTACAGACCCAAAATTACATTGACAAAACTTTCAAAACCGCCATAATAGTAATACGTATAATTTACAGATTCGGGTTTGAGATTTGTACCATACTTTGTCTTTCTAGAGACATGAAAAAGATAAAATAATGTAAAGAGCAGTTAACGCTATAAAACTTATCCCTTGGCATGATTCCATTATCTTATGCTCCCAGCACTCAGCAATAGGATAGAACCTTGAGCTGGAAAGGGAGACAGACCGATGCAACTGATATCTGGTTCAACTTCAATAACGCAATGGAGCTTACCATTCTGCTCACTGCTTTTCCAGAGCCGCGAAGGCTGTTGGTGTGAATGTAACGGTCAGAATGAAGTTAATGAAACATTAGATTAACCAAAGCTGATATCCGATAAGGACCTGTCAGTCTAAATTGCGGCTACCTTCGATACCAGCACTCAAACAGTCCATTCAGTCTAAATGAATAGCCATACGGTTATCTGGTGGACTGTGGACACGGTTTATGAAACAATAATGCACTTTGCCATTGCCAAGACAGACTATTGGTATACATTTAGAAACAGTTGAAACAGCCGTTCACCGCATCTCTTGTCAAATTTTAATATGCAGCGAATTGCAGTGAATTCTTGCAGTGAATGGCCACATTTGCATTGATGTATAGATGCCCAAAACACCCATTTCAAGCAGAGTTAAAATGAAGAGCATTATCTTGTGTGTACTTTAAGAAGCATTAAAAAATAATGGCAAATAGACCTGTATTCATGTATGTGTGCGTTTTGTCCACTTGGAGCTCTACTGAAAGACCCAGATTAGTCTTTTTTACCCATCTGATTAAGGGCTGTTTCCGCCATTTTGTTTGGGGTAGATTAGTCAGAAGGGGTAGGGGCATTGTGTCAGCGTGTGATTCTATAATGCCAACTGTAAGAAAGCAGTCTTCGAAGAGCCACCGTTCGACTTTAAAGTCTAGGTTACTTGTAGAGTAAAAATACATAGGGACAACATAGATCATCATGCTTTAGGAGGTCACAATAGCCCCACACGGTAATTCGTTTGGGAATAAGATTGTTAGAGCCCATCAGTCCATGATGATTTATGAATTCTTTGATTCATGGATCCATGTCCCAAGCCATGCCCAAGTGTCCTGGGAGGATATGTCTATAACTGAGATTAATTTTTTCAAATCACGGCACATTACTTCCTTTGCCTGAGCAACGTGGTGAAAAAAATCATTAAGACCATTCTCCTTTTCCGGTCACATTTCATCCCCAGAATGCTTCATCCGGCACCGCAGGATATTGGCATTAACCTAGCCATCCGTCTTTATTGTGAGATATTAACCTTTGGACATTGATGATCATTAATATCTATTAAACGATAAAGAGCAAGAAAAAAATTACACTGAAGTAGAATACCAGCCTTCTTTTACAACAGGTTAAAAAGGAGAGTTTTTCATAAATTCTGAAATACTTCTCGTGTCTTTGGTCATAAACGTTTTAAAATACATTTTGAACCTTTCCTGTTTGGTTGATCAATGATTCTGTGAAGATATCATATTATAACTCAAATTGCTGTAATAACGGACACTTTCTGAAGACTACTGAAGCTTAAATTTGAAGGGTTTTATACAAATTACGCCCTAATCTGTTTTTTATTGAAAAAATGCCTTTAAGTCTGCCATTAATATTCCCAAAATTATCTATACGTGTTTGTGTATTTATTTATTTGTCATCTGCCACACATTTACTGCTAAGTACAGCATAGTCTGGCAAAATGGTACTCTTTAAATCACATCTCTATTTAACTTCTCAGGTCTTGAGCTTACTTATATGTCAAAAAATGCCAATCACCACAGTCAAATTCTTTTGGGCTATGTTATTAAAATATGCTATGAACTAGCATATTAGATAGTAGGACTAGTAGGCAGGGTTGTTGTTCTTGCGTCACCTTTTCCTTTCCGGCGACTTGCATTTTCTTTTTTGTATCGAAATAACTGCTGCTGAGGAATTTGCTATGTGATTCTCTGGCATCTGTTTTCTCCCAACAACAAGCTTCCCTACTTAAATTTTAGGAACTTGAAACTAACAGTTTACATGTAGCCTAAGTCTTGGTCTCGATCGTGCCTTGCTTCAACGTTTCTTCCTATCTAATTACTCCTTCTAGGAACTTGCGTTCCTGCAACGCCTAGGAGATCTGGTTCCTACTTGTGCTTTACTAATACCGATTGCGATCCTGGTTTCGAGTGTACTGAAGTCAGGTCGCAGAGCTTGCGTGTGTGCAAGGTGAAGGGCACCCGCAAAGAGGGTAAGTGAGTAGCATCGGTGGTTAGTTGACACCCAAATCAGTGTTCCTTTTTTCTAGGGCCCTATACGTTTGAGAGAGGCTTCTGCATGGAGTTAGGCGAAAGGCGAAAGAGCGGTTACAAGAAAAACGGTAAGTGCGCTATGTTTGGAAAACCATTTCATTGAGCTTTAATAGCGTTTTTTAGTCATTTACATTATGCTTTTTTAAATTTACAACTCTAAAATTGGTGTGTGATGCTTTTTGTGTTATAAATTACCAGGTTTACATCAGTTATTATGATTTTGCTTGTAAGATCATGTACATTTGTAATTTGCTATTCTTTCATTTTTGATACCGTTTATTACTCATATTGCCTTTTCTATGAGCGGCCGTTATGTATCACGCTGCGTATGAACTTCACTATGATTTGCAGAGTGTGTATTACATTTGAGGCAAATGGTTTATCGATGGATTATAGTCACACTGCATGCTTTAATCTGTGTAAAATCAGTTTAGCAATATTTTGAAAATGATCGATTTACGCTTTATGGTGTGTAATAATAAACGACATTTGAGGGTTGTCCAGTCTGTTTAAAAGTCGACTGCCAGAATCAAGGCTGCGCAAAACCGTCTTTTTTTAATGCGAGTAAAATGACTAACACAGTATTTGTCACTTGTCAGTCCAGTATATTTGTGGTTCGGTTTTCTGATTTGAATAATAATTTTCATCCAGTTTACAAAGTTTGTGTGTGTGTGTGTGTGTGTTTATGTGTGTGTGTGTGTGTGTGTGTGTGTGTGAGAGAGAGAGAGAGAGAGAGAGCTCAAATGAACTTATTGGCAAGCACATCTGTCCCTGTGTGTATAGTGTGTAAACTGTATAATGTAAATGTACTATACATTAGCACACAAATCTCCATATTATACTTAAAGGTGAGGACTGTGAAGACTCATCGGAATGCAGGCCAGGGTCATGTTGCCAAGACATCAACATTTTCCGCAGGGGCACCTTCAGGAAGTGCGGCCCATACTACGGCATTTCCAAATGTGTGAGAGCGAAATCGGACAACAGTGTCGTCTTCCGACGATAAAACAAACTTACGTGATTGCATCGAAGCAGTGACCCGATTTTAGACGTTACATAATCTTTTCTTTGTGATAAGCGTATAAAGTAATGTATGTGATTATGAAATTTGGAACTGTATATCCATGCTTTGAATAACGTGTTTGTAAAAGATAGACATTGATAGAAATCTAGTTAATAAATGTTATTTAAAGGTGCGTATTTTAGCGATACACGTGTATTACTGAAATTATTTCTGTATTGTTGAGCTTTGTATATAATGTCTTATTTGTCGTAGTGTCTGAATACTTGTGTGATATATCTCAATGGTTTGATAAAATGTGGACAAGAATAACATTTTCTTGGAAAAGTTACGTACCGGGGATAAACAATTCTTAACTTGCTATTTATGATGCAATGGAATGCATGCCAACAAGCATGAAACAACTTTTTTGAAACAAAATTGTACATCTATCTCACTGAATATTTTCAACGGTCAGAGACTGACAGTTGGGTCTTTGAAGTAGCAATATCTTTGCAAAGGTATTATTTGTTAAAGCTTATAGAATTGAACCTGTATATTTAAAGAATTCAGCATGATGCCGTCTTCAACTTATATTGTGTTAAAGTCCTCATGTTTTTCTTTGTGTACAAATTGTACCCTCTGCCCAGTGACTATAAATAATTCGTTTTTAAACATCTAAGCCATATATTATGTATATTTTCCATCGAAATTATTCCGTTAGACTAAACCATACCATGTAATACGTCTGCTTACTTTGGGCAGTGCGCTGTACAAGCCACGTCGTCTTAAAAACTGTTACCATGCAAAAGTATTTATCTAGCTGGATATCAATACGTGTACACTGAAAGATGATTAGCCACGGTTCGTTAATTCTGTTAACAAATGAAAGACGTTTTACAAAGCAATAATTTGTTTTTGAATGCACGGTATAAGTAATTATGAAGGAATTTTGGAATCGCTGGTAATGAGTAAGATAGACCTTAGACCTTTGTACACGTATTAGAGAGCTTGGCGCATCTGCCGTGTCACCATGCTTTTTGTGTCAAATTCGTAAAAAAACAAACAAACGATGTGTACATTGATAGCAGCATTAATGTTGAAGTGTTAGCACTGACTCATCATAAATCGTGAAAACATAGATGTAAATGTATTTTGAATAATCTGGAAGTATAGCTGAAAAAAATTACGGATCGTGTTTCTTTACATGTACTTCTCATTATACATGTATTATGGACGTACGGGTATTTGTAGTGCCCCCTCCCTCTCCCTCTCTCTCTCTCTCCCTCTCTCTCTCTCTCTCTCTCTCTCTCACACACACACACACACACACACACACACACACACACAGTTTTGTCAGGGTGGGCTAAAACAATGATGAAATTTTCTACATCACTTCTCTTGATAAGCACAGTATAACAAAGTATACGGGGGCATTATTCCATAAAATAAAGGGCGAGGGGATAGATGTCCCGTTTCCTTCTTCCCGCTGAAGGAAGATGAAGATGAAAGGGGTAAGTGGTACCTAGGAAGCTTTGGTAGTCCGAGTCCGCTGTGCTTTCTGTAAGACCCGCCGTGAACCACAAAAAGACAAACAAAATCGCAAACACAATCTTCAACCGAACACAATCTGCGATTGCAGCAGTTGAGATCTCACCCGGATCTCCTACCAAAAGCAACCAAAGGGTTGCAGGAACTGTAGACGTACCATTACGTCAGAGGAAACCGCATATGAAGACTTATTTCTCAAATTGAATATGCCTCATGCTGTCCTTGTAGGAACATGTAAATTATATAAACACGATACTCGAAGTTAGTTGACACAAAGACAAACAAGAGTGCCCAATTTTGGATTTTCTTTATTGACCTCTGCACGTATTGTTCAGAAAGTTATTTTGGTATCATTCAAGTCTGAGTTAAACTTGAAGAAATCATAATTAGTGTTTATTTTTATATTTGACGAGGGACATTGTAATAACGCAAATGTTTGGTATAAACTGTTTCTCAATTCTTTCAATACCAAGGTTTTAATTTAGCGTGCAAAGCTTGAAAGTTCGACTAGTAGGTCGGATTGTGACTGATATTTATTGTATTTTACATTTTCTAATCCAACAGTGGTCTTTGTGTCCACCTACAATGGGCAGTAATTAACCAGCACTGGGGCATAATTGGCAACTTCAGGACATTTCGTTGACGCGATTTTAAAAATCTTCTATCTTAAAAAATCTGTACCTTTAAAATGGTAAAAGGTATGTGGCATTTTCGATTAAAATAATACTAAAATGATAATGTTTTTGGACATATAACCTTCCTCAACATCTGAAAACTCGGTGTTTGAGTGAATACTGGTTTGTTAGTAAATAGTGATTTGATACAATTTAGTAATTTGATCGATGGGTGACTCGTCTATTGCAGCCATTGAGATAATTTGTCGAAACACAGCAGAATAGGCAACATATGTCTATATTTTCATTATTATTTGTCTGAAGTCGTATATAAAATGTGGATTGTTTTCAAAATTGAGATAAATAAAGCGTTTCTTCGAATTTGCATATTACAATGCTAATGTTACTCCTTCAAAAGTGAATGGAATATCGGCAGATCTTATTATATTTGGACTCGTGTGCCTGTTTAACATTCAAAACCTTTGAGTATTGTACTACTTACATAAGAAGTGCGATCCAAAATTACTGCAATCTTATTCATATCCAAAACAACCTCAAACAAATAATTGCTTTCGTGGTATTGTATCAAGCGTTATTTAGACAAAATTTCGTTTAATTTTGTTGCAAAATAAATTGCGGATACTTAAATGCATGCACGTGTACTTCTAATGAATGCAAATGTTGACAATTCAGCAGCAAAATCCAATTAAGTAGTCGCAGTACAAATATCTTGTTGTCTTTATCTGTATATTAAGTACTGTGATAATAAAGAAGTTTCATTGCAATATTTCCCCATCATCATCAGCGAACAAGAATGTTAAACAATTAATTGTTGTAATAAAGAGTTTAAAATAAATGTCTCACTATTTCTTGTAACAGATGGTAACTTTACACAAATCATATATCTATAAATGTGTATATATATTTACTTATATATATATACCTAAACTTGGCACCATTTAAAGACATGCTATATGTCTTTGGTTCATGCATGTATAAATATATTTACAGTTTATTGATAAAACAATGAATAAATCTAGCATGGCGCCAGAATATATAATATAGCTATCTACGAGATTGTCATCTTACGCAGACATAACGTTATGATAACTTTTCCTTATTTGAGTTTTTATAAAAATAGATTTCGTGGCTGAAGCATGTTTGATAATATACATTTTACTGCAACGTGCGTATAACTATTTGTAGTCATATAAATAAATACTCTTATCAAGCAGTTAAATAGTACCAAGCCTCAAAAACCAACCCCATGCATTGACTTGCGTGTTTCCCAGTTCGGTCTTTGGTTCATAACGCTATTAAGAATGCAATGTGGCAGTACGTTCATATGTGTGATAAGTAAGGGATGCCGTGCACTGATTGTCCTTAGACTGGCCGATAAATGGCATATTTAGAATACCACTTTCTTTTGTCTTTGTGTTTTCCCTCATTGACTTACTTGTATTACTAATTTAGCATACAGTATGCCTCTTTTACGATACCGCCTTTTCTGAAAAGTGAGTAAATTTAGATATTCTCTTGCACGGAAAACTGCCTTGAAACTCCCTTCAGACATTGTCAACGAAGAATTGCAGGCGGAGTTGCCCAGTTTTCTTACTATGGATACCGTGCTTTTCGGTGGGCATGTCGAAGAACGCACATCATCGCAAAGACTGTCTTCTTTTGTGAAGCTCTTAACAGCAAGAACAACATGAAAATCTATAGAAGAGCAACTCGAACGAACACATAAGTAAGACCCCATGCGAGGACTGTGTCGAAATACAAAACGCAAGCACACCAATATCAGTGGATGCGAATGGCGCCATTAGGGTTGGAAAAGCAAGCTTTCTCCCAGGACGTACGGTGAGATCTTGAACAGCAACTTCGAGTACCAGTGCATACCGTTTTGTGGCATTGATTGCTTCCAGTCAATGTTTAAGTAGTCTTTTGCAAAGTTTTTGGCAGTGTGCATCCACCTGGCCGGTACAAACGCCATGTGTGCAATATTTTGACTATTAATCACGCCATAGCAGGACGCTAGTGTGTCATCAACGACTATAGTTCCGTGCTTTGTCAAGGGAGCATACGCTCCTTCCCGCCAACCGGGTTCGATTTTTACAATCTGACTCAGTCTCACGTGCCCCGTTGTCTCGTGTGCACGATATAAATACTGTCCAACTTGGGCGTCTCTTGCAAAGATAGCCTTTTTATTTAAACTATAGGTGTCACTACTGGCGTTCGTTGACGACACGAAGATCATATGACTGTGTGTTAGTGAAATGCTTCCTCCATCTGCCGTCTGCAGCGTGTAATACAGGCCTCGGTGGTCCGTTCGTCTGTCCAGAAATATCATAACTTCGCTGAAGTGTAGGTTTCCGTTGGAATCCGCGGTAAGAACGCGCTGGCCGATCTTAAGTTCGGACATGGGTATCCTGTGTCCGTCTTCGAGTGTAACTTGGCCACTGGCATCAAAGCACCCTCCGCCATGAACAGCAGCCGCTGAATCTAGAGGAGACAGAAACAATATCTTAATAAGAATTTTCACTAATGCAATCTGTACTCAATCCCTAATCTATTCATTCACTGTGTGACATGTACTTCAGATAATTCTTCCGACAAAATATTTAAAAAATCTAATAACTGGCTTTTTAATTCTAATTACATGCAATCTGTTTGTAAAACACGACACTTGATAACATGTGCAGGTTTCACATCCTATCTTAAAAATAAAACGTCACTAATCACATAATATGCTTTGTCATTGCTCCATACAAAACAGTAAAAACTTTCTTGCGACACCCCACCTTCATGTTACGTTAAACAGGTATTATTAACACGGTTGATTACACGGTAAATCATATTTTTTATCATACATTTCGCAAAAGCATAGCAATACTTTTATTTCTGTGAAATGCTTGTACATTGAAAAGTATAGTCGCTCATAGGTATGTGTGGTTCTGGTGGTTGGTGCCAGAAATAATAGACCATGAAGACGAGGTACGGGAAGGTTAACAGCGCGTAAAGTTTATGGGAATGGCGCCGTTTCCTAAATACGGCATCACAGGAAATCATTGTCGAAATGTACTCAGCACTCCACGGTGGGTATATAGCCTCCTTCGCTGCGGCCCGTGGCCTGTTTGTCGTAAGGATGTAGTTGAGGCAACGAACAAACAAAGCACTACATTAAGTCCTCTGTTGGGGCTGAAAGTTAAGTTTCATTATGTCAAAGGGCACAACGTGGCTGCTCGGTTAAAAACGGCGTTTAAACATAGGGGCTTAACCTTTCGAACGGGGGCAAAAGACATCGTTTCCGTCTTAAAACTCAAATAGCTGTAGGCAAAGGAACGTTATGTTGGAATTACCACTTCTACGAATGTTTTTTAAGCAAGTTAAAATTCTGGACTTAAGATTGTTGGAATCATGCATCCACGTAACATCGCCTAAAGGCCGACGGTTGTTAGTAAATATATAACTGTTTATTGTTCATACTAGTATGTAACTGTGGTTCAAGAGAGGTAATGGTAAGCCTGAAGTTTACCCCGACACGTTTGTCATCCCATCCTGCCTGTTCTGGATGTTTTCCCCATTTCGATAATCCGTTCTGAATGAACGACATGCGCTTCCGTCGTGAAAGATGAGGCCAGATCATCTTAAACCTTGCCATTCATTTCTCTTGTATTCAGTAAAAAATAATCTGATTAGTCAGCCAAAACGGCAAGTTACACGTGTATCATGTAAGTCGTATTAAGGTCTTAAGCATCAACCGTATCGAGTTCATTGAGCGAAAAATAGGTAACATAAGTATCATTGCTGTGGGGCAAAAGATCCCGTTAGTTCTGAAACATTTCCCCATGTTCGCCGATTAAAATGTTTACTGGTTAACAGCACTGGGTCAAGAGTCCTGTTTTCTGATCATGTATGTACTAAACAGTGGGTCAATATTTAAGCTTAGCCGGTGACATGCCAGACAAAAGGAACCCAACGACACTTGTCAGTAATCCTGTTACTACGTGATTGGGGGAAAGTATGAGGTATTAGCTCATAAGACGCCTTTCAACACCTATGGTATAAACAACGTTTTGATCGGAGGCACTAAGATGCAGAACGCCTGGTCGCCAGGCCGCTGCAGCAAGGCTTTAACTATGCCTGTGAAATGACGAACAACAAGACAAACAGGTCAAGTGATGGAATTAAACTTTGGACTGGGCCATATATAACATGTTGAATTTTGAATCAACATACAAATCTGCCTTGACAAGTGTATGTGTCTTTCAAAAGAATTGTTTCAGATTTAGCGTGCGTTTCCTCTTCCAAATCGATTTTGTTTGTTACTATCCTTTTTGAAAAATATTCCTCTTAAACAGGAAGTGGTTGCCTACAGAAAATCTTTTAAGTGATACATAAAAGCATCCTAAATTAGTTGAAATGCGAAATAGACAAAACTCTCCTTTTTTTCTTTTGTCCTCCATATCTTTGAGATACGTGATTAATAAAACACAAACATTCTCCCTATGTACGTAACCGCTTGTAATGCTAACATTTTTGAAATACTCTATGTACAAAGCTGTACTTTTAAAACAGTTGTTGTAGCAGGGTGTATATCACTATAGAAGGACATTAGGAATGGACTAAAACAAAGCCTATTGCATTGTTTTATGTGATTGTATGAAATGTCAGTATATTTCAACTATTTTAAAATTCTTATATTTTACACATTAGAATGGTTCCTTTTAAAAGCTGTCGTGGTGCTTCTCGTGGAAGTGCAGATTCCTCATGTTACAATAACCCAAGGATACTTGAATTATTATCTAATGTCTTTTTACGTGCAAGATAGGTACAGAAGCACAATTTGGAATATGTACAATAAATATTCCGGGTGTTGTTTAATCTTCTTCTTTATGGATTATTATAGGGCGGTTTTCCGCACATAAAATTATAAATTAATTAAAAAATACTTTATACGGAATTAGTATGAACTGCTAAACCAAAAAAGTGGTATACTTGAATTTGGGATGATACCGCGAAATCTACTATAATATTGTAACTACTGTTTGAAAATATTAGCAATGTGTTTCTAAAATAAAACTGGAATCAATCATTTTAAACAATGTTACATTTAATCAGACAGCTACAAAGTCGACTAAACATGTGGGCTTAAAAGTTTAGGCCAATTTCTGTCTTCAGTTGTTTTGTGACACTGGTCCCAGAAACTATTTATCATGAAGACGATCTGTATAGTTTTGCTATTGTCTTTGTCATGGGACCGAATCTGTCTTTGTAAGTGTCTGTTCCAAAGGTACCTTTCGTATCGTAATGCTCTGTCGTGTCTTTCAAAGTGAGCAATGGTTATTTTTGAAGCAAAAGTTTTATCTAAGTAGCGGAGTGTCATTTCAACAGTACACATTTAAAACAGAACAGTGAGAGTAGTTTCTAACTCAGTCGGTCTATATAATATAAGTCTTAGTATGTCTGTGTCTGAAGCATACAGTGTGCTGGTAGAGAGGGCGGTCAATGAGCCTTGTCGTAATTAGCAGCATGTCTGTTTCAGTCTGGCCACGTGGTTTTCCCATGATCGGACCCCCTACTTCAATGGCCGTGGGTCTATTTCAGTAGGAGGCAGTGTGTCTGTTTCAATGGGGCTGGGGGACATGCTTTGCTCGCTATTCTGTGACCTTGTCAAACAGGCATTATCAGCTAATGGAATGTTTATCCAACCGTTTGTTAATGCTATTTTCTATTTTGACTTTATGGATGATTGGTCATGGGAGAGCTGTTTTGAATTTTTGACATTGTGGTGTGTTTGCTTAAACTTAGACACTTGAAATTCATAGTGCGTTTGACATCGGGAGTGTATTTAACTTTTTCATAGGAACTTGGGTATAAGAGGCGTATTTAAAACACATATAAGCGAATAATTTATCAATTAAAAAAAAAGTTAATTATCTACTCAAAAATGAAAATGCGCCATGATAAGGTTAGGTTATACGTGTCTCTGCAATGGAATATGAGGGAATTACAGCACACATCTCGGGCATTTATATACTAGGTTTTTGTGAGCTATCATAGTACGACAGAAACAGACAATTGCTTCACGAAGGACATAGTATATGTTCATTTGCTTACAAACCAGGAGGTTTACATGACATTTGCGTCTGGACAGAGTGTTAATCCCGCAGCTCAACAGTGGCTTTGAACCGCGAGAACCGAGCTGGTTTTACACCCAATTGGTTCTTTTCTTACAATAAAACCGTACACTAGTCCCATCAAATGTTGCCAGTTTGCTTTGAGAAGTCTTGACTAAGCCTTTATACGTTTCTAAATCCCGGCTTAAGTTCTTGACACAAACGCTCGTTCTCACTCATCTCTTCTATAATGCCCTCGATACGTCGCCCCGGGTGACCTACTTTCTTTTGCGGCGACCTTGTCGTGTTTTAACTAGTTTTTTTTAAGTGGTGACGGCGTCTTGGGGATTAAGCCGGCGGTGGTCCAGACAGTTGCTTTAACCATCCCTAGTTTACACATCCGTGTAATACCTATTTTCCTTAACCGGGTTCCAGTCAAAACACTACAGTTCCATAAACCCACTTCTTGTCACCTTCTCAGATATTGGAAACGACAAGAGCGACGGTGACTCGGTCTCAAGTTCTGTGATCCTTCTCAATGGAAACGTCAACTGAATACAGTTCACACGAATTCCGTTATAACAGAAAACCATTTTAACATGTTCTGAACCTAAACGATTGCGCAGGAATTATATTTCTTCTACAACGATATCTTTAAAAAAATCCCCATAATATATCTTATGGGGATCTGAATAAAAAAATTAATTATAACCTTTGCACTGCAATTTGACATATCATACTTGTATCTATTTTAAATTGAAATACGTTTCCAAACAGAATGGGCCCTATCTTGTTTTGGCTATATTTTTAACAGCGATTTCAACTAGCAAACATATCTATGCTGTTTTATTCATTGTCAAATGTTGAATTTATTTACGAATGTTGAACAGCATCACCCCTCCTCAGCCCGTTTCCTGATCAGCCAAAAAATACAATCATCTATTTTTTAAATGTGTTTCTAAGTGCTGAACTTAATTGTTGACGGTGTGTAATGGCTCTGCAGGACGTTCTAGTGCCTTTTTGACCAAAATGACTCAAGCCACCAATCAATTAAATCAAGGACTGATTAACTGCAATTTCGTCTTTTAAATCATCGAATTGAACTGCCACAATATCCGCCGCAATGTTGCAGCAACGGAAGACAAACCCTAGACCTTATGTTGTTTAACCGCAAGCGGTTCCGATATCAAGCTTGGTAATTAATTTCTAAAGTGTCTTTATCGGTAAGGTATCAGGCGATTCAATTATGCCGAACACCTCTTAACGTCAAATTTATCAAGCTTTTAGAATTTTGAGCGCAGACGATTTGACGCGTAATCGATTTTGTCTGACTCTCACCAAAGGTATGAATTAGTTCGGGTAATGATCACTGTGCCGAGCTTTGGTCCTCTCTAACAAAATATTGCCATCACAACCCAGCTATCTGTGTTAACACGAACATATTGTGTCGTTATTCCCCTTTTTTCACCAATAACTTTATAAATGCACCCTGTAAAACGTGGGGTCCATTCTCATGACTTACGTTTAACACGTGCAAGTTATTTCATTGATACGACTCGTTTCCTTACGTCTAATTAAACATGAAGTGATAACGTTTATTTATCTTTTGAAAGTCCTGTCCCTTATAAATGAACCCGATGAATGGCGCACTTGCCCCTAGATAGAAGGTGGAGCGACCAACACACCGCCGTACAATGAATGGTCGGTGTTATGTTTCAGTGCGATGAATATAATACTATCGACCCCAAATCTGATTACACACCTCGCTTTATCTTATTATTCATCTCGCTTTATCCCATTATGATTCCATAATTTTATATGAGCCATTAACACAGATGCCCCTTAAGTGCGGTATTGTTATTTAGCCCGAGGCAGCACTTATTCTCTCCGCTTCATTTGCATAGTAAATATCAACAGTTTTGAAAACGGGAAACCCACGGGCAAACAAATGGCGGTAAGCTTAAGGTCACACCTCTATGATACCTCCTCTTCCTCTCTTTTTATGTGAGTCTTTCACTGAATAAAAAATGCACTAAGGGGGGCACAGACCTCAGAGTTTGAAGTAAGATGTGGCCTTTGACTGGCACAGAGGAAGGCGAACAATATCTACAAATGGCAATGCCTTACACTGACATTGTGGCTATCTGTTATATTTGACACTATCATCGTATGAGGCCCGCCCTTTTCGAGTATTCTGAAATGGGGCGTTTACAAAATTGTNTTATCAAAACAACCCATTGTCTCTCAGGGGGCGTGAGTACAGAGTTAATACGTACATGGAGTATACGCATACAGATTGTCGCGCGAATTATGAGCACAACCAGTACAAATGGCAATGCCTTACACTGACATTGTGGCTATCTGTTATATTTGACACTATCATCATATGAGGCCCGCCCTTTTCGAGTATTTTGAAATGGGGCGGTTATAAAATTGTCTAAAAAGTATGGTAAAACGACCATAGCGACTACGCGGACATTTTTAATGTGGGTTTTGTTATATCACATTTGACAGATTACATTGTGGATGAGCTGGCCATGGCCATTGTATTCTCAGCTATCATTTGACTATGAAAAAAGTGCCACATATTTCTCTTGTGTTCTATTGTCGTACTTTTGTACTTGGCACTGATTTTCAAAGGTTTATGTCAATATGTGAAAGGTACTCGTTTTAATTGTTAACATTAAAATAAATATTCATGTTGTTCAGAAACGAAGCGCATATAAGGCATCGCCAAAATTTAAATTAAAAAAAGTGGAAGAAAAGGCGTGTTTGCGAAAACAGAAATAAAAAGGGAACCAATTACAAAAACACAGAGATATAATGCGTGTAATGCACATTGAGATATCCTGGGAACTTGGGCGATTAATTCAGAGAAAATCAAAGCCTTTTTGACTCAATTTGATTCATTTCATTCTTTGGGAATACAATACAAAAAAAAAAAAAAAAGAACGTGACACGAACAAAATCACTTAGAAACAATGATGCACAGCAAGCCTTACCTGATTTTACCGAACAATGGATATGGCCTCTATTCTGGTAGTACACCCAGTCGAATCCGCTTTCCACCGCCAGTCGGGCTAACATTCCGTATTTTGCCCTATCTCGGTCACTCGTGGTAATGTCCACCGCTCTTCCTTCGTAATGTAAAGAGTCTTTAGAGTGCTGCTCATCCGTGTCATAAGCCTCCGTGACTCGTAGTTTGACACCAGGCCATCTGACCATAACTGATATAGCCAAACTGTTTAATTTGTCTTTGCACCTCTGTAACATAATGAAAATATAATATAAAATAATACTATATGAAACTACGGTATAGTTTTATATGCCACTACACCTGATTACTTTAACACCTTATTGAAAATGACTTTTAAATCGAATGGTCGGTGATATATGTGGTAAACTATTTGAAGGAAAGCGCAGTCAGGAGCAAAGATAATATGTATTTTGAAATACTCATAAATATGAAAATTTGAGGTTTTTAAAAGCTATCTGGGTATATGTTCACTGAAGCAATATTAAGATTGGTAATGCAACAGTAAAGAAAAATGGTAGCATTGCATTGGGAAGCTTTTTTCCCCTTTTTTCACAAGTCAATTTCATTATTTTCTCTACTAATGAATATGACATTTCAAACCAATAGGGTTGATTTTCCTTGTTATAGTAGTACGCAAACGAACTAAGCATATCAACCTTTTTCATTGACGGTATCTTTCATGTAATTTGCCAATCTATATTTTATCTAACCCGGGATTGGATGGCGATATTTTCAGACAAATTACTCCTCATTACAGCGTAGTGCGGCCTACATGTACACAAATGATATTCTTGCTACGTTCATCACGTATTTGGTCAACAAATCACCAAATGTTCCAATATCAAATGTGTTAGATAACCTCAATATGGCGGTGTTTTGACCGGTATCTGGGAGGGGTGATACTTGAGCATATTTAGCACTTACACAACGTTTTGAATATATTTACATGTATGCGACAATAAATAAACAAGCCATGTTCGTATTGAGGCGACCATATAAGTTTCGCCTAAGTTATTTAGGCATTATCTGTTTGCTATTAACCCTTATTGCTAAGCACTCTGGTGTTAATACAATTTTGCCTTAGTCTTTTGGCAATGAAATTATCTGTTTGCTATTAGCTTTATTGGCAAAATAAACTGTGCTAGTTCTAGGCATTAAAACGTGTCTTTTGTTTCAAATATATCTCTCTGAGTACATTTTATTTCAGTATACTTGGCAACGTTGTAACTCTAAAAACCTTAGATACAGACGTTTCAGTTTCAAACTCTTAAAGGGAAAAAAATGCCTCCATACGCAGCCGTGAGGCATCTATTCAGCCAAGTTGCTTTCGAGACCTGCTTTAAAAACGCCACTCTAAAACGAAACAAGCCATGTGAAAGCTCGGGAAACCTCATGCCCATCATACCAAGGAACAGGCCCATGGACGGGCATTGTCCCTCGGCCGGTCTTGCATAACAGTATCAACAAGAAGGGAAATCTAATGCTAAGTACCCGTAAGAACGATGTCGGACATGTTTACGTATAACAACACCGGAATCTAAAGCAGTGTGGGTAAATCGCGGACCCATTGTCCCGGCTCCCTTACATAACAATCAGAAGCATGGAGAGTGGCCAGATTACAATACCTTGCTTAGCCTCTTGCAGTGTCTAATGCGTGAAAACAGTGCATTATCCACCGACCATAGGATCACCTTACAACAAAAACTTAGATCCCCTAGCCACTGAGTACGCCATCATCAAGCTGAATGGGAGCCATTTGAAACTCCGGAATCTGTCTTTTGGGCCAGCAGAGTAAAGAACTGTATATTTATCACAATGGGTAATAGGCCTCCCGTCTTTCTTGAAATTTTGATATAAGTTCTGCGTTTGTAGAAGATGAAGTAATGAAGGTTTGTAAATTGTATTGCACGGATGTGACCGAATACCAGGGCAGAGCGGGTAATGAAAGGGCGTGACTGTTTCAAGGTAGCTTTTTGTCAGTGCAATTTACCGACAATAGAAGCACCTCATATTGTTTCTTCTGCATATAGCATGAATAGGTCTTATGATTACTACCTGGTTAAAATATCCCCTCCTACAATTTTGAAAACGAGAAACTCGTGTTTATGACATTGTATATTTTCAGAGGGAAATTTCCATAAATACAATAGAAAAGGAAGACAGCATTACTAATTCATTCCAAATCGGTATATTTTCCAACATCATATGCTGATTTCAACAACGAAGTGGTGTTATACACAGGCAGATTTGCTTTTTGGGACATTTCATCGCCCTTTTCAGTAGACACATTTTCATTAAATATCAGTAGTCGTCCGATATTGATGTTTGTAAGAGGGTCAAGCTATGTCCGTTGGTGATGCAAAAATTAGTGATGTTGAATAAATCTCTTAGGGAAATAATGATCGGACATGCTGAACAATAACGTGTAGTACTAGTGCAGAAGTTTTAGCAATAACCTTGCGTAACTGTCAATTAAATGTGTTAACAGTAAAGACCGATTTTCTGCGTGATTTGACAAGATATTAGCTTTTTTGAAGACGATTAGACCCAAACCACAAAATTAACACGACGGAACAAGGCACATTCGAGAAAAATCGTTTACACAAACTTGCTACATAAACAAAGTTGAGTCAATTCTCCTCAATGTCACGAGCTGAGATATTTATTCAGGTATTGTTGTTCCACTGTCAGGTTCAAATGTTGAATATTTTAAACAGAGCGGAGAAATAATAAAGAGAGAGTCTGCTGTTTACGTGTGTGTATAAATATTTAAGTCGAACTAAAGTACAAGCCGTGACTGTTGCTTTTGATAAATGAAACATGAAATACTTAATGAAGTAACAGTATTCACACTCCGTGAACAATTATCCAATGATGTTTTAATAAACATTGCTATCCACACCTGTTAGATTCAAAAAGATTTAATTCATCAATAATTCATAAAAATGACAACCCAAAAGATCATTTGTGGTGTTTTTCTAATAAATAATGCATTGCCTACTTGTTTTTGTTTTGGTCTTGACTACGATAGTTTACTCCTTTTTGGAGCTAATTAGCGTAATTAAGCTATCTAGAATCACGTCACACCGTAAGGATGTTTCAAATTCAGCTCCAGTATTCAACTGAATGTTTGTGGAATATTGTTATCGTAGTGTCGTTGTCAAATTATCCATTTTTCTTGTTATTTTTACTACAAAGGTTGTATTTGGCTATCAATTCTTTTTCTGCTAATTAATGTTTTTACAAGCGGTAAAAATAGGAAGGATTTTAGGAATCACACAGGGATTGTTTAAATCTACAGAAGAAAAATGCCACTAGTGACTGGAATTAAGAAATATTGTTTAATTTGTGCATAAACCAATGACTGTTTAATTGGCATTTAATTAGGTTGAAAATGTTTTAAATCATCATACTGGGTATATTTATATATGGAAATCAGGCTGAATGAAAAATATTTCAAATATCCTTTTTGTAACAGATTCAGAACAAATGTGTTTCATGTCAGATGGACCTCGTTCAATTGCGATTTATCCAAAGGGATATATTCCTGGTTACTATGTTTGAAAAATGGTGAATATTTTTTGCAGTTAGTCACGATTTCTTCCCTGCTCAATTCTAACAATTTTACAACTTATCTCTGTATTCAAATAGTTTTTATTCTTTTCATATTTGCGCCAGTAATACTCGCTAAAATTCAAAAAAAAAAAAAAAAANCAAATGTGTTTCATGTCAGATGGACCTCGTTCTACTGCGATTTATCCCAAAGGATATATTCCTGGTTACTATGTTGGAAAAATGGTGAATATTTTTTGCAGTTAGTCACGATTTCTTCCCTGCTCAATTCTAACAATTTTACAACTTATCTCTGTATTCAAATAGTTTTTATTCTTTTCATATTTGCGCCAGTAATACTCGCTAAAATTAAAAAAAAATCGGGCCTATGTTTACATTCATATCGAGAAAAACTGACCCCTGACGTCTAAGGTACCGGTGATAAAACCTCCGCTTAAAACGGGTCAAATTAGTTTGTCGTCAGGCTTAACACGATGCATAAACAACCTGGACATGTTGCATATTGATTATATATTACCCATTTCTACCTGCGAACGTTTACAGTAAAAAGCAAGCAACACACTTTATCGAAAGGGCAACGGTTTTCTTAACATATTTATCTTTCGACACTGTGAACAAAATGCTATTTGGACAGTCTCGAATGTTCCAAATACTAGGGTGCCGACAAAGAAGGGTGACTCATTTCGTCTCTTAGTTAGCATAATATATTTGTACATTTGTTTAACCTTGCCTTCCAAATGCTTGAACAATATTGCTGAAGGCACAGCGTTTAACTTCGCCGAGTCGTTGCACGGAGAGATGTACCGCCTATTTTTTTACCTACGTTGAACGAAAGTATTCAGTTGTTTGAGGGTCAGTAAAAGATCGTAGAGTACATTAGGACGAAGGCAAAATAAAACCTATTATATATTTTACCGGTAAAGAAGTAACATCAGTATATATGTGACAGAGACTCGCGATATGCATATTAATTTCTTTTATTCAATGCAAAGACAACCTTATTTGATTAAAATATATGCTTTAAAAGAGATAAATTATGAGGTGTGAGGCGATATATTATGTGTTTTTTTCAAATGATTAGTGCTGCGCATGTTACTCGGAGAGCCTTCAGAGTTGCTTCGACAGTTGCTTCCTGATATACTACATTCTATTCGGAAGTTGCTTTGATTGTGCATATACCTAAGGGGCACTACCCAAAAAAGTATGTGCATCCTTTTATCGAATAAAATGATCTGTTACTTATTTATACAACAAATGTGCGTCGTACAAAAAGATGACAGTGCACCTTTCAGTTCGAAAACCACGTGTGTTTTCCAAGTTTACACAGTACATCACTTATCGCCAACACATGTTCCTTTCGTGTGTCTAACACGCTGTATCACCCAATGTGTCGATCAAACCAAGTAAATCACTGTTGTCGCACATCCCTCCGTGCTCCATCTCCCCGAACTTATCACGCTTATCAAAGGCAATTGCATCACGGGCACTTGAACGCCCAAGAGCCTCATCTACAACGAGGCATGTAATCGCGCGATGAGGTAGCTCCATCAGCTGAAGCGTGTTTGACAACATGTACATGGTTTGATCCCTAGCATTGGGGTTATCGGCGGCCACACTTGACATGTGTGAGGACCACAAGCCCTTGCTAGTACTA